ATGCTCTCTTGCCCTCTCAGTTCCTTGCTCCCTCGCTCTCTCTCCCTGCCTCCCAGTATCTTTTCTCCCTTAACTGTTTTTCGTGTTCCCCTCTTTGTGTCTCCTCCCATTGTCTCCCAGGTCTGTCTTGTTTCCCCGAGTCTTCTTTCCTCCTGGCTTCTGTGTCATGTTGTGTGAATTAGTTGATGTCTTAGTGTTTCCTGTTTTACTGTGACAGTGTTGAATCCTGTGTTCATTGTGTTTAGTTTTGCGTCCTCTGTGTCTGATTGTGTTTGATTAGTCCCAGCTGTGTTTCCCTCATGTTTCTCATTCCCTCATTATTCTTTGTGCATTTAAACTATCTGTTTCCCACTGCCCATTGTCACGATCTCTCTCCTTCCTGTCTGTGTGTTTTGTTTTTTAGTTCAATCCAGTTCAGTTTATGTATGTGTACATCCAGCACTAAAGCTGAAGTTCAGTCCTGGCTGCAAGTCTGCATTTTGGGTCCAATCCCACCTGCCACATACAGCTGTTCATGACCTTCCTTTTTTTTAAATTTTTATATATTTAATTTTTGCTTTTAAAATTAAACACAACATGCTTATACAGATTCAATTGTGAACAATTACTACAGTTGGCATTTGTGAACTTATAAGCATGAAGAAAAGATAAAGGAGAGAGAGAAAAAATTATAACAATATTAACTAAATAAAAAATAAAATAAAAATGAAATAAGAAAATTCACGCGGGGTGTGAGGCATGAGTTATGATCAATTAGTTTTTAAGAATTCTAGAAATGGCTGCCAAATCATACAAAAACTCTCCAGTTTCCCTTTTCTATCAAATCTTATCTGTTCCACCCTGGCCACAGACACCATCTCATTAAGCCACCCTTTAAAACACAGGGCTGAAGAAGACCGCCACTGTAAAAGAATACGTTTTCTTGCAGCCAGCATACCCATTGTAATTATCTGTTTCTGTGAAGAGAAAAAGGATTTGATTGATGCAAATGATCCAAGTATAGCCAATGTACCATCAAGTGGTACTTTTTTCCTAAATTGGTTTGAAAACCACGTAAAAATCTGCCTCCAATAAGCTTTCATGACAGGGCAATGCCAAAATAGATGTGCAAGGGAACCTTCACAGATATTACATCTATCACATAAGGGGGATACAGAATTATAGATCCGGTTAAGTTTAAGTTTAGAAAAGTGTAATCTGTGAATGACTTTAAACTGGATTAGTTTATATCTGGCATTTATTGAGCCTTTCTGAATATTGGACAAACAGTTTGACCATTGGTCCTAAGACAGAGGGACACCGAAGTCTTCAGCCCATGTATTCTTAATTGGATCGGAATCAACTGGAATTGTAAAGCACTTGACAAACTGAGATATCAGATGTTTAAAATCTGCTTTCAGAATTATATCAAAGTAAGTATGACTTAGTGGCTTCAGTGGAAAGTCTGAAAAGTTTCATTCAACAAAATTCCTTATTTGAAGATAACGAAAAAAATGTGATTGAGGTAACTGAAATTTTTGTTGGAGTTGAAGGAAAGACACAAATTCATCATCTATGTATAAGTCCTCAATACGTTTCAATCCCTTTCCCCCCAATTCTAAAAACACCCTATTGATTTTACCTGGTTTAAACAAATGGGTATGTATTAGTGGCATTCTTACTGAAAAGTCAGGTAGCTTAAGAGATTTCCTAATTTGACTTAATATCTTTAAGGAGTGTTTAACAACAAAATTATGACTGATCGAATTATTAGAAGAACCAGTGTTAGAAAACAATAAGACCGGTAATGAGGCTTCAGATACTGTTGCTGCCTCTACCTGAAGCCAGATCGGAAGCTTATCATAACAGTAATCAGTAGGCGAACCCCACTGCCAGTGCAATAGAGCTCTTGAATTTGCCGCCCAGTAATAATGTCTAAACACAGGGAGACCCAACCCCCCACTGGAAGTATTTTTTTTGAAGATGAGCCATGGATATCCAAGGGGTTTTTCCTGCCCAAATAAATGAAAGAATCAATGAATCAAGCTTCTTAAAAAATTTAAGTGGCAAATAAAAAGGAAGGTTTTGAAAAAGGTATAAAAATCGTGGCAGAGACACCATTCTAACGGCATTTATTCGACCATTCAAAGACAGAGGAAGCATGACCTTCTTTACCTGATACTGGGTGTCAAGTCAAACCAAGTTTAGGGGGTGTTGAGCCTGGAGTGAAATAAATGACAAAATTAAATGCATGGCAGGTGGAACTAATCTTCAGTGTGTTTTTCTGTTTGGAAAGAAAATAGAATGAGAACAATGGGATAACAGGAAGTTGCTACTTACAGAGAAGAAACTTGCTTGCTAAAGAATTGCGGCTGCTGCTATCTTAGTTAGCATTATTTTTGTGCCGTTATTCAGCTGCCCCTTTACAAGTGGCTCCATTGTTCAGTGTTGATCTGCGTATGCAAGACTGTTGAAGTCTGTATACGGTTAAGTGAGGAAAAAGCTGGTTGAAAGACGTTATTGTCCACTAGTGAATTTGAAATAAAATCATTTTCTTTTCTTTCTCACTCAGAGTGCAGACATGTCTGCTGCCAGCTGTCTTCTATCTGAAGATC